TTTCCAAATAATTTGGAACTCCCATTTATTATTCAAATTTCAAGTGAGGATGTAATGCATTGAACCAAGCCTGCAAGCATGTAAAATCAATGGCAATGATGCTTTGTGTCATACAATGTACAGCTGTAGAGCCCTGGGGTGTGAACATTAAAATGCAAACTTTACATGCCCCTCTGCCATACTAGTGTGTATAATTACTGTATGTTTTCTGCCAAATCAATGTGTTTTTTTGTTTTTGTTTTAATGATGCAGAAAAAAAAAGTGAAAGTGTCTGATCAAATATTTATCTGATTACATGTGGCCGATTGTATTAAATGTGTTATTGTTAATCAAAAAAACCAAACAAATAGAGCGCCTAAGAACGAGGAACAAAGACTCCAAATTTTGCTCCAAAAATTGCATCAAACGATGAATCACTTCAAAACAAACACGAAACAGAAACACGTTGCGTTGTTGTCGTACAATATTTAGCACGACACTGACAGCGATTAATATTCATGAGGCTGCGACTTTGCAGACCCTCAGGATAGTTAAATTAATTATGCTAACAGGGTCATTTAACTGCTTTATTCAAAGCAAAGCAATTCTCGTGCAATAAGTGACACAATAATTACACACAATCTAACGAGAGGACAGTGACAAGTGGAGGAGCGACACGCTCATCTTCATAAAGTACAAAGAAGACATTTACACAGCAGCGCAAAACAAACACAAAACAGAAGTAAAATCCATACAGGCGAGATGAAAGAATAACTAAAGCCGGCTAACAGTTTTACATCCACGGCAGCACTTTCTCTCTCTCAGAGTAGTAAATTTGATTTGTTACTATGTGTTATTATTTGGAATTATTCATTTTCTCTGTCAGTGCACATTGAGGGGTAATAGAAATGCCAGCAAGGTGGCTGATTTACTTATTAAAATTTTCATCTCAAGGCTTGAGAGGCATGATTGGAGTCTGTAAGAGTAACGGGAAATCATGCATTATGTAGGCGAATTTGACACGACCTTGAGACTTCTGAGCGCAGACCATATATTACCATCAGAGCGACCTTCCCATCCCGAAGATACATCTGATGTGTTTAAGGCTGTTTTACAATGCATTAGGAGGGCTTTACATGTGCTGAGCTCACTTTATTTGCTCATACATTTCACAGGAAGAGTTTAGTGTCAGGCTGATGGGGACCGTTCACAGTGACTGAGTCACTTGTCGAGACAAATGAGCCCGCGGAAACAGGCCGAGGCGGTGGATAATAAGCATTTCAAAGCAAATTCCCGCTTTCCCACTTTTACTTCCCTCCAATATACAGCACATTTACTATTCACTGAACCCATGTGGATTCCAGCTCATCAAGTATTCACGCTTACTGCGATTGATTGACCTGCATCTTGAAGACAGAATAGATATGATTTTTCCCACCAAGCTATGGGGCGTCAGGATCAATATTCTCACTGTTGGTTAAGCTTTTGCAACCTTTAAAATATCAACTCCAATCGATCTCTCTCACATAATTGCCTACATTTTCAAATCAAGTCTCCCACCCCCCACGCCCCGTTTTGTACATGCCAGTGACATTTGAAATGCCTCACAGTCCTGCCACACGACCTGTCGGAGTACCTAAGCTAAAGGGCACAAAACACATTTATTAGCATATTACATTTATTGCTCTGTCCACCTTGTTCTACTTTTCACCCCTGTGCTATAAACATGTGAGAGAGCAAGGCCATGTTATATTTCCATATAAAAAGCCCCATAATTATGGGGGGATGGTTGTTCCCCTTATCAGAGGGAATGATAAGGGAGTACCAGGCCCTTTGAAAGAACGGGGTCCATTTTGATATAATTGGCAGTGGAATTATTTATGACATTAATTGCCACATTATCGACTGGCTGTCAGCTCCTGTGTCAGTCTGTCCATCTTTCTTAGCAGAAAGAGCCAGCTCAGCCTGGTGCCCACTGACAAGCTAATTACTACAGCACAACCCTGAGTGACAAATGTTACTCATCTAAGACCGGCCCGGAAATAAGGGCCACTCTCCCGCCCCCCCCTTTCAGCTCCTCTGGATCAAGTGAGACAGCAGTGTGCTGCCAGATGTCTTCAGTAGCAGGAGGGAAGGGGTTTGCATGTCAGACACAGACAGAGAAAAAGTGGGGTAGGAAAGGAAAAAGGGGGGAAAGAGATTTCTAGAGCCAGGAGGACAGTGAAATCTAAATCTCGCCCCATCCTGTCTGCTGCTCTATCAGTGGCCACTTGTCACTCATACAGACAAGTCCTTTTTCCTTTCTCCGCCTCCTTGTAAATTTGCATTAGCTCATGCCAATCAGTCATCAGGCTGTGAGCTGATATCTAGTGATGGGGCGATTGGTCCTTAGTTTTCTTGACAGCAAGTCACACACTCGTGTGCCTTTGGGGAGGAGAATTGCGCTGTGCCAACAATGTAGGAAAAATCTGAGCTCATACAATATGCAAATACATTTTAATATACCTACAGTCTGAAAGCCTTCCAATATTGTGCAACAGTTGCTGTGAAAGTATGCACAGTATTATTGAAGACTGTGCAAAAGGATGAACTTAAATTAAACTTTCTCATATTAAATAAGGATACAGGAAGAGCTATCACATCGTCATCTGTATTTTGTGGCTATTAAGAGCACATCAAAACTCAAGCAAAAAGAGCAGTTACTTGGAATACTTATAATAGGCCCAAATCAAGTTTTATTTATTTTTTTTACAAAATGCACGTGCCGTATTGTTAGTATTAAGGTTTCATTGTGTAACGTTTCCTTTCTAGTACAAAAACAGCAAAAATTGTCTACGCAAACTGTGCACAAAGACCCAGATGATGCTCACGCAGATATGGATTCACATAAAAATATGCACATTCAGAGTTACACTTCCTATGCGTGTGCCTACGCACAGACACACACATGCACACTGCGGCTAGTAGAGGAGCCTGCAGGGCCACTATAGCAGAATGTCACTGATCTGCTGTGATGAAGTGGCGTGCCATTTGTTCAGCCAAGAAGTTCCTAAGGAGCAGCCTCAGTGACAGAGCCGAGGGTCAAGGAGGGCACCGCCTACAGGTAGATCTGTGCCTCATACCTTAATTAATCTACTGTCCGTGATGCCAAGCATCCCATTCATCCCACCGCATGCACAAAGGCACACGTCAAGCATATGTCAACCCAATCTGGCACTCCCTGCCCACCCCATAATGCAGTTTGTGTTGGTGTGGCAGCTCGGGATGCATCCCTGACGAGGATGGGAAGTGACACGCACCAAACTCGGTGTGTCCCCCAGCCAGCTCCGGTGGCTCGGGGCCTGTCAATTCCAGCTCCGTCAGTGGCACTGGCTCAATGGCAGTGCCTGTGACACATGTCACAAAGTTTTAAATGTCTGCTCTTTTCAGCAGGATGGCTGGGCGTGCGCCGCAGCCAGGGGAAGGATGACATTTTGTGTCGTGCGGGGGGAACTTGTTGTGGCTCCCCTCTTCCTGCCTCCTCCGGCTGTCAGCCCCAGTTTCCTCTGAACATATCAAAACACAGACAAATAAACCTTGTCATTTTGAAACGCCAGCACTAGTGACCAGGCTCCTGAACGGCATGTCATCTGGAATATGGTCACACAGTCCTGTTGAAAGTTGTGAAGTGAACGAGCAAGCAGACACACACACACACACACACTATAGTATACTAGTGCAAATGTTTAAGCTAATAGAAATATGAGACGAACTGAAAGAGACACAGTGAACAAACATTGCATCAGGCTATCTCTGACCTTTTCTTCATCCGTTTGTGGATGAGTGACACACTGTACTGAAGCTCAACATGGTTTCTTTCAAGTCCCAAATAAATAAAGCCTCTATCTCATCACTGTGGTTTATTCACCTCCATCACTTCTAAAGTGTAAGTAATCAAGCCTTATGGTTTGATGACAGATGAGTTTTGTCAGTCACTGACATCTTTAATAAGCTTTATGCAGGAAAAAAATATCTATGTGATGGACAGTTCCTCATTAGGAAACAGTTTAAAGTGCCGGCAGAGGGAACTAAATGCGAAAGCATCATAGTACCTTAAACTCCACATCAAATTGACAAGAGACATGTGTTAGTTCAACCCATTTAATTAAATCCTGTTAATACAATTTCACATCAGATCAGATTTATCACATCCTTTACATTAAAATTTCAATTTGTTGCCTCAGAAATTTGACCTGCTGCTGTGAGAGGGCATTAAATGGATCAATACAACAATGGTAAGCCACAACAATTATAAAGAGAATAACAAAATGTAAACATTTCTCATGCAGCAACACTGGTTATTACATTGGCTTGGATATTCTGAAAATTGTAAAGCAATAAAAGAGAGCAACATTTCAGACATGAACCTGGAAAGAGCAATCCTATTCTTCATTTAAAGCAGGTGCTGGAATGTTTTATTTTTATGATTAAACTGCATTTTGTTCGGCTTCTTTTGTTTCAAACAAACAAAAATGTGCACACTGTAGAAGAAACTCACCGAATCTTCTCAGTTATCAGATTTTTGACTTTCAAGAAGAGATTTTCTCTTTTTTAGACACCAAAAGATCCAAAAGACAAAAATAACCAAATAAAAATCACATGAGCACAAAAAACCCTACCCCCCCCCCAAAAAAAAAAATTCTGCCTCAAACTAAACAAGACACACTGATCATGCCTTGGGTGTCGACTGAAAATCACAGCAATGTTTAATGAAGCTGTAGAAACGCTGTTCTGTCAAAGCCTTGTCTTAATGTTTTAAAGAAGATGTGAGTGTGTGTGAGCGAATGATACACACGGTGAAAGAGATGAGTCCGTGTCAGGCCCCAGGTGTGTGACCATAACCTCTTCACCCTTGATTAGTGGTGGTAGTGGACAAGTGATCCATCATGGCTGTCAAGGAAGAGGACGCAATTGGCTGGGTATGTTTGTCACTGACTCTGTGTGTGTGTGTGTGTGTGTGTGTGTGTGTGTGTGTGTGTGTGTGTGTGTGTGAGAGAGAGAGAGGCTTGTGCTCTTGTATTTGTGTTTTGAGTCTCGAGTTTTGCAGTTGCAAATGCTTAGAGGCAATCATGTCATTCAGAGTGTCATCTCCGGCTGAGCTGCATGCAGGGAAGCAGAAGCAAAAGAGGCTCTAACTATGGGGCTGCAATATGATCTTTAAAAACACAAGAATTTTTTTTTTTAAAGGAAACCTTCCTTTTATATAGGAACATATTTTCCAGGAATTTAAATCTTTTCTTTTCCAGATCAGGTGATCAGGTGAACCAAATATCACCACTGGATTCAATAAATAAGACTGACTTGATCCTCCCGTCCTTCTGTTAGCATCTGCTGCCTTCCATGTCCGTCTCTTAGTCTACGGTTGAGCGGCTGTCCATCAGAGCTGATCGTTTCTGATGAATCTGTTGCCCTCTGAGTGCTTGCCATAGTAGATGTAGCGACACTTGGCGAACACTCCTAAAAACAGAAAGAGGAGAGTTCAGTCAGTTTGCTTTAGTACCTGTATATACTTTTCACATTGAAATTTCTAACTGGACTGCATTTCCGTAAACATTTTAGTGTCAAAACTAAACAATCAGCAGTTTCTAGGTTGTAGTATAATAACTGCGGTGCATTTGCAGTGTCATTCGCAGATTAACAACAGCAGCTTTCAACCTGTTGGCAAGACCCTCAGAGCACGTCTCTGATGTGGTTTGTTTATAAGAATGACAGGAAACCAAGAAATAGCAAACTTGTACGTTCATTTTTAATTACATTTAATTCAATTCAATTTGATTTATATTGCACCAAATCACAAAGCAGTCACCTCAAGGTGCACGAAAACCCTAACTATAAAACGGTCCCATCTGAACGAGCACTTGGCAACAGTGGGAAGGAAAAACTCCCTTTAAACAGGAAGAAACCTCTGGCAGAACCAGGGGTTCTGCTGAATCCAAACTAGGAGCTGGTTCCGCAGAAAAGGGGCCTGAAAGCTGAAGGCTCTGCCTCCCATTCTACTTTGAAATATCATGAAACTATGCAGCTGTATTAATATTATTGAAGGCATCTTCAGGCATCTTCAAAATCTAGGTAATAAATTCAGTTTATCTGTTTGACTTTAAAGACACACAAAATAAGCCTGGCTGAGTTTCTAAATGGGAAACACTGAAAGTACACAAAACTGTTTTGTTTACTGTAGTCGTGCAGTTTTAAATGGCAGGACTTAACTGGGTGTGCGTCTCTGCTTCTTGCAGGCGGGTGAAAGAGGCAGTTTCAGAGAGAGACCTGAATATTTGCATTTGCTTCCAATAGATGCAGCATGCAAGTTTAATCAGGAAGGTGTATTTACTGCATTACAGGAACGTATTTAAATAACTCAATGCAGACACAAGATTATTTACTTTATCCTAAGGTTACTTTACTAATTATGGATTAAATTAACTGCAGGATTTAATGATTATTTTCATTACAAATTAAACTTTCTGGCATAAAATGTGAAACATTTCCAAATATTCTTTACATGGGTCTTCCAAATAAGAGGACATCCTGCTTTTCACCGCATTTATGTGCATATATTACTTTTCATTAAGGTATCATATTTATACTTAATCAGCAGTTCTTGTGGATGGAACTACAGTACTAGTCAAAACAAGCTGAACTTCTGTGCTATTATTTCATAGAAGATGGGCAGAATTACTTTATCAAAGAGGTTTACATATATACCTATACATA